CACCTGGCGATCCCACACATCGATCAGGCGCAGCGACATCAGTCACGCACCTATGCATAGATGCCACCAGTCACGCTGATGCACCGCTCTGCACCGCTCTGTCACTCGTCGTTATCAGCGAGCTCTTGAGCTGCCAGTAGGCCACACCCTGTAAACACTGTGGTATTCTTTCATAATTGTCTTCCGTAGGTGATCGTGCCAGCAACTCATTGCGCTGGAGAGGCGGAAATCAGACGCAAGTTCAACGCGCGCAATCTGCGTCGACAACATTGCTTGTATCGCTTGCAGCTGCGTCTGGCGGATCGCTGCGCTCATTTGCTTGCATCGGATCGTCCCAAAACGCCAAGGCCTCTGTACGGCGCGCCCAACCAGCGCCAGCGCGGGATGAGTTCCGGGGCAGCTCTCCAGAGGACGTGCATCCACCCTGTTGCCCCAAGCAAGGGCGGATGGACGCCCGAGGAGGACGCCAAAGTCGTTGGGTGGGTCACCTCGGCAGCTTGCAACCGCGCGCGGCCACGGCCGCCTTGCCAGTTCTGACTCGCTGCCAGCCTGCGTTGAATTGTTGGGCCCACCAAAATGCGCGCACCATTCGCCACGCCACCATCACCATGCGCTGCCGGCCTTGGCACACTTTGTCATCCACGCACTCCGTCACGCGTGCCTCCTTTGTGCGTCCAGCCACCCAGCACAACCCTGGCAGCAATCTTTTGTCAACCTCACCCGTCTATCTCTCCCGAGCCGCCCCTGATGAGCCCCCTCTCACACCAAACACCCCACCAGGCTCGTAGGTGAGCACGGGGTGCGCAACTGGAAAAAGATTGCGGACGCATTCAACGAGTCTTCCGAGAATCAGCGCAACCCCAAGCAGTGCCGCGAGGTGCGCCCAGGGGCGCCGCAGCCGCGGGCAGCTGGGCGGAGGGATGCTGCTGTGCGGCTCCCTCCTTAGGGCGTGACCGCCCTTGGCCAGCGAGAGCTGCTTGCTGCCGCCAACTGTCGCCAGCCGCCCCGTCCCTTTTCAAACACCCATGACTTGCAACTTGCCTATGATCCGCCTGGAGGCTGGCAAACCCCTTGTTTCACAAGCGCCGCGTCCTTTGCCCGCTCCTCCGGTCGCATCCCCAGCGCTGGAACAACCACCTGGACCCCAACATCAAGAGAGACCCTTGGACCGAGGAGGAGGAGCGGGAGCTGGTGGGCAGCTGCCAGCCCCTCCCAGCCCTGCAGCACCCCAGAACGCTCACTCCCTGCAAACCCGGATTGCCTTGCGTCTGTCTGTGCATGCGGAATCTCTGTGCTTTGCCATCTCCATTGTCAGCAACGCACTGCCCTTCGATTACGGCACGTGCTGTGCCCACCTGTGATACCCACGCCCGGCCCCCCCAGGTGGAAGGCCACAAGACATGGGGCAACCAATGGAGCCGCATTGCGCGCGAGCGCCTGCCCGGCCGCGCAGAGAATGCCATCAAGGTGGGCGCGGCGGACGGCGCCACAACGCCATGACACCCTGCGATGACAACCAGTTGAACGCTCAAATGTGTGGCGCATGGACGGCTGTGGGGTTGCTGCCCATGTCTGCCGACCCTGCCTGCTGCATGTCCTGTCTGCCCGCCCTTACTGGGTAACATCTTCCTCGCTCGTCGCAGAACTTGTGGAACACAACCCGCAGGCGCAATGGCTCGGTCCCGCAAGGTGGGGCGCGAGGGGCGCCCGGGGCAGAGCCGCCATGCACCGCTCGTCGGTGGCAGGCGGCCCGACCGCCGTGACCTCTGCCCACCCACCTCACCCCCCTCTGTACCCCCACGCTGATGCCCCATCACTCAGCCCGCTTTGATCGCTCACCCTGCCTCCTCCAGCCCGGGCAGGCCTGCGCTTGCTGCCCTTCTGCAACCCTGTTGCCACCCACCCGCTGCTCCTGGGGCGCAGGCTCCGGGCCCCTGGAGCAGTACATGGTGCAGCTCGGGATGCGCGAGCCCGCTGCCGATGTCGAGGCAGGCAGCGGCGGCAGCGGTGGTGACGGCGGCCCCAGGAAGCGCGCCCTGGCGCAGCCCCCGCCTCGCGCGGCATCTGACAGCGGCGGTGGCGGTGGCGGCGGCGGCAGCAGCAGCGGTGGCAGCGACGGCCCCAAGAAGCGCGCGCGGGCGCAGCCCGTGCCTCACGCGGCATCTGACGGCGGCGGTGGCGGTGGCGGTGGCGGCGGTCTTGCGGTTGAGCTTGAGTGCCACGAGCAGGACCCGCTTTGGCCGCCAGGCTTTGGTGGGGCGCCGCTGGCCGCGGCTGTTGCGATCCGGGCACAGGCTGGGGCAGGGGCAGAGGTGGGTGTGCTAGAGCCCTCGGCTGCAGGCCCGGCGCACGCCCCGCGTTGCGCGGATCGCGCCGTGGTGCCAAGCCACGCGTGGGCCGAGCTGTTTCCCGACGAGACGAGCGGCAGCCACACCAGCAGCCACAGCGGCAGCCGCAGCAGCAGCCACATCGACTGCGGCGGCGCCAGCTGCCCCAAGTGCCGCCACGGCATCGACAGCAGCTTCTCCACGTTGTTAGGCGACACCTGCGATGGCGCGCATGGCCTCTCACAGCAGTGCGAGCGTCCGGTTTTCCAGATGGAGACGGATATGGCGGCGGGGCTCATGTCGTGGGCAGACGACGAGCTTCTGGGATACGGTCCCGGGCTGTCCGACGAAGACGTGAGCGCCGGCCCGCATGCTCCCTCAAGTCCCTGCACGCGGGCATGTCCTCACTCATTTGAACGACGCGTGTGCGTGCTGGCTCAAGGGGTCGATGCTGCTCCTCAGTCGCCGGGGCCGCGGCATGCGAATGGTGCGCCTTGTGCCCGCAGCCCCCCGTCTCCGAGCCCTACTCACAACACCAGCGGCCCCACCGCCTCCCTTCCATAAATTATGGCAGGCCCAGCTGCTGGCGTCACTCTGCGATCCGGACACCGCCGCCCCTGACTGCGAGCCGCCGCCGCCTGCGGGCGCTCAGCTGGAGCTGCGCCCGGCCGACCAGCCCGCGGCCGCAGCGTGCGCCGCGCGGCCCGGCGGGCAGCCGTACGCCGCAGCCGGCTGGGGTGCGGCGTCGTGGGACGTCCCCGCACGCGCCCCCGCCGTCGCCGGCGCCCCGGGCGGCCTCGTGCAGCAGCAGCTGCGCAGGTCAGCGCAGCACAGTCACTCGTTCAACGGCTCAACCGGCCTCACGCCGCTGACGGTCCCTCCCATTCTCTGCGGCGCGGCCAACGCAGCGGCCGAGCCGCCGACGCCGGGGGTGGCGCGCGACCCGCGCCAGTTCATCAGCCCAGCCGATCACGCACACGCGCCGGTGGGAGCGCCGGTGCCGCTCTTTGCCAGCGGCACCAGCCCGTCAACGATGGCCGCCGCCCCCGACGCTGGGGCCAGCAGGGCGCCGCCCGGCTTGACGCCGCGCTGGGCGCAGCTGCCGGCGGTCTGGCCTCCTGGCCAAGAGGTCATCGTGGCGCTGTCAGAGGGCGCTGACCCGCTGCCGCCCTCGGACGCAATCTGCTCCGCGCTGCAGGCGCCCACGGCTGGCTGCCCGGCGGGCGCGCACAGCGCCCACCGCGAGGTGGTCAGCTCCACCAGCTACGGTCCGCAGGCTGTCTGCGGCCGCGCCGCCGCGGTGGCGGCGCTGTGCGGCGGCGGCTCGCCTGCGGATCCGATGCAAACGTTGGGGCCGGACGCCGCTGTGGGGGCGCTGGCGGCAGACCTGCAGGCCGTTTTGCCGCGCCTCGTCGCCAACGCGTACGCGCGCGCCGCGCTGTCGGGGGCGGTTGGCCGGGTGGTAATTGGCCTGCGGCTGGGCGCCGCCGTGCCGCCATCGGAGCCAGGGCTTGTGGTGGCGGTTGCCGCGCGCAGCAGCAACGAGGGCGCGGCGGTGCTGAAATGTGTGGTGGACGCGATTCGCCTGCTGTACACGTGACGCAGCCCCTGATGGGCAGCGGCGAGCCGCGAGGCTCCTCATTGCACTTCTTTGGCACCGACACACACACCTTGAGTGCATTGAGAGTGCGCAGAAACACGCAGAGCAGGCCGCTCGGGCCGTGAGTTGCCTCGGCAGCTATACTTCAGGGCTATCACAATCCTGGCCGCTGCATCAACCTCGTGACCGCATCCTTGTGATCACCGTGCCGCGCCGCGCAGACGCTGCCACACAGGGGCGTGGGCCGCGGCTGTGTGTATGTGTACAACCCTTGGTGCCGCCGCCACGCGCGCACAGGTGCAGGGTGGCGCGCCCCGCCGCAGCCATGTCTCGGCTTGATCCGTCAGTGATCCAGAATTGGCACTGCATCCTGCGCGCACCTCCTCCGCGGCCCAATAATACAAAATACAAAAAGCATTTTGCTTGGAAGGCTCCCGCGTGGGACGCCTGCGTCGCAATACGCAGTCCAAGTGGCAGAGCCGCCTCTCACCCCACCCCCCCTTGGCCAGGGCGTCGGGGCGGGCAGGAAATGTCCGCCGCAGCCGTGGGTCGGCGCGCAAAGATGCCACACCTGCCTGCTGACCGCTCGTCCTATTACATGGTGTGCAGGGGTTTGGTTGCCGCCGGCTATTGACTGCCGCGCACCTGCGCCAAGCGCCGAGCCTTGGCGAGGATCGACCGAGTTTTGGGTGCCGAGGGGTTCAGAGATCGTTGGTCAAGGAATACATGCTGCAGGGGCGGCCCCGCGCACATGCCGTTGAGCGGCTCACGCGAGTGCCTGCTGCGACGCACCGCTTGCCAGGCCGCCCCGACCGCCGCAACGCGGAGCGGCTGTCGCGGTCACGGCCTGCGCCTGGCTTTGACTGGCGCCGCCCTGCCCCTCGCCCTCGCGATGCGGCGCCCCACCTCGAGCTGGGCTTGGTTGGGCTCGGGGCTTGGTCAGGTTTACCTCCAAAAACCTCTACCTTGTGCACCATGCTGCATGGAGGGGAGGCACGCTCGCCACGCGGCTCGAGCGTCTGGTTGCGCTGAAATGCGGCCGACTGTACCCCCCCCTGCCTTGGCTGTCCCTTGCCTCTCTCTCTCTTCGTTTCTCTCTCTCTCTCTCTTCGTTTCTCTTTCTCTCTCTCTTTCTCTCTCTCCTTCTTGGCGCCGCAGCAAGGGGCCTTGCAGCGGCCAACGAGCAGCGCGCGTGTGCGCGTCGGAACTTCAGCCTCCTGCCGAAGGGGCCCCGCCGTGGAACCCGTCCCCCTGCGTGAAGGGGTTGTGTCCGGGATTCCCCTTGGCCCCGCCATGCCATGCATGGATGCGCTCGGCTCAAGCATTCCGCATGACGCCTGTCAAGCATTGCTCGACACCTTCCGTCCGTCTCTCAAACGCTCCCCCTCTGTGTCCTGAAGGGTCCCCCTTTTCCTGCTGCCCTTTCTGAAACGAATGTACACCGCGCTCGTCTGCTCCTGCTGGTTTAACCCACAATCTTGGGCGAAATGCTTTTCGCCGCCCCTGCCTTGGCCGCCCCTGGGGGCGGCCGCGCATGGACGGGCCCGCGCCCTGCAACAGGGACGTCATTTGTGATTTTCACTGGCAGCGCGGCCGCGGAAGCCGCGCCCCGCCCAAGAGCGCCGACGCCCGTGGCCTCCGGTGCCAACGCCCACAATTCAATGCTTGGGGGACTGGTCCAGGCTTGCTAGCCGAAGCGGCTACCAATAGAGAAGCCACCCTGGGTTTGCATCGCATGAAAAACTACAGCCGTTCCTGGCGGTCGGCGCTGGCCATGCGAATGCTTTCATCGGGCTGCCGACGTCACGTTCTGAAAGAGACGGCAGGGGGCGGCTCGTCGGGCCAGGAGTCGCACGCAGTTGTTCATTACCTGCAGGTGCCCTTTGCTCACGTTGCGCAGTTAGTACATGAACGATTCACGTCTCTTGAGTGCACGCGGCACGCGTCGTCCGCTGCACGAGACTCAAGATACTGGCTGGCGCAAGCTCTGCCCCACCGAGTCCACTCGGAGCAAGGCTGCTTTTTGTGCATGGCACGCCCAACCGATGTCATTGCTCACACACTGCCCCTGCGTGCGTGGCGGTGCTGGCACAGCCAACCCCCCAGGCCAGGGCTGAAAGCGCTGAAGGCGGCCGAGCGCGGCTTGGGCTTCATTGTCCTGTGCAGGTGCTCAGCGGCGGTGCGTCGCGCATGAGCTGTTCATGATGTCATATCGACATCCGGACCTTGCGTGTGTGCTCGCACATCTGCCTGCTCCGCCCTGCGACTATGCATTGCACTGGGAAGATTGTGCACGTGCTGAGGTATGACACTTCACAGCTTGGTGATGGTCAGGTTGTGGATCGAGGATGAACCATGCAACAGGTTCCCAATAATGCTCAGCGTTTTGGTTGTGCCAGCCAATCACACATGCAACTGTTACTTGACTGACTCTGCCATCCTACGCTGCAGCGCCTGTAATTTTATTACACGATCTTGTGCGCCTGAATTATTCTTCGACACCGGAGAAAGACGCTACTTCCGCCACCACCGTGTGTCAGGTTGTCCAGCTGGCGGCGCAACGGAATCATCTTCAGAAGATTTCGTGCTCTAGGTGTAAGATATTTGTAGAGCGAAGAAGTGCAGTGCCTTTGGCGGAAGTGGCCAAAGAAGACACCATTATGTGATTTACAAGCTCTTGACTGCCATACAGGCACATCCCAGCAGCAGTGAAGCCCAAAGCGTGCGCAGCAAGAGCATCAGTGGCCACCAACAGGATTTGTTGACCCCAGGTGTGGTTGACCGCACGCCAAATGCCTTGATTTATGTGCAAACGGGTGCCGGAAATATTCGGAGTTGAAGATTTCGTACTCGCGCGGGGACTACGGTACTGGAAGGCAACTGTGGCACGCAGCGCTGCGCACAAAGCAACTGGGGCAATCGCAACGACATAGTAAATGCGGAAGAGGTTGTAGTGCACACGAGACACTCCGTTTCCAGCGGCTGAGCGCTGAGGTGAGTGCTTGCAACCGAGCGATCTGGCTCCACAACGACTGACGATGTCATGCCAGCAAAAGGATGTGGCATGCGTAGGTTGTGCCATTGGCGGCATCAAGGGCAGCGCTCGGCTTGCGACCTCTGTGACCATTGCGCTTGGACACCGCAGCAGCTGCTGCCCCGCTCACCACTGCCCCACCTCCAGAACTCGAGCCTTGCGCTCACCAGCGATGTGAAGCGGGACGCTCACGAGCCCACCAGCGAGGCGGAGACGCTCGCGGGGCGCAACCTGCACAAGATGGGGGTAGGTGCGGCACTTGCGGCCCAGGCCCTCACAGAGTGCAAGGAGCGCAGCAAATGGGCCAGGGGCGGAAAGGATGGCTGGGGCCGCAGTGCTGTGAGCAGGGGCCTGCTGGAGGCGTGCTTCATGGTCATGCCGTGTGCATCGCCTTGGGGTGATGTGGTGTCTTGAAGATCATAACTTCACACGCGCACACCCCTCTCATTCGACCTGCCCGCCCTCGTCTCCGTGTCTAGGTCCCCCTCTCCCCCTGAGCACTCTCCCCCTGCTGTTGCATTGCCCTTCCCCTGGCCGACTCACTCGCCTCCCGTGTCCGCCTTATCCCACGCGCCTGGCCTCCTCCCACAGGAAGCGCGAGGCCAAGGCGGCCGAGCTCGAGTTTGCGCTGCCGGCCAAGAGCCGCAAGACTGCGGGCAGCATGAGCGTGATGGACCTTGACACGGCGGGGTTCTCCAGGCCGCGCACCAAGGAGACGCGGTGGGCGGGGGCTCGGGCATGTGTTGAGGCACTTGCTGGCTTGTGTCGTGTATGTTGAGTTGATGGTGTGCAGCAACAAGTGTGTGTTGATGGTGTTCAGAGTGCGTGTGTGTGTGTGTGCGCGCGCGCGTGCGCGCTTGCACGCACATGCGCGTAGATATTGCAAGGCTGGATGTGATTGATAGACTGTAGACATGTTGCGTGCAGATTTGTGCTTGAAAGCAGCTGGCCAGAGCCCGCCCCCGTTGCCAGCGGCGCCTGCCCACTGTGGCGCCGCGATACGCGGGGGCGGCAGAGCAGACCCCACCTAGCACGTTACAGCGGGCGCCGAGCCCCCACCCCAGCGCGCGTCTCCTTCACACCAGGACAGCTTGGCCGCGTCAGCTGCCATTGTTTTTCTGCGCGGGCCTGGGCGGGTGCTGGTGGTGCGGGCAGGGGCGATGGTGGTGCAGCCGCGCCCCTGGCAGCACCACCCTCACTGGGTCCCCCACAACCCATCTTGCTCTGTCTTCTCCCCATTCGATAAGCCCCCTCGCGTTGTCATCGACCCTGAACACGCCCTGGTGTATAGCTGTCGCTCAAACCCTGCCGCCCCCGCTGCCCCCCGCCCTGGCGCCCGCGGCCTTCGTCGACAGCGCCGCCTACGAGGCGACGCTTAAATTGATGCACTTATGATTTGGGGACCAGCCTTGGACGCACTGCGGGGCGCGGTGGAAGAGGTGGGCAGGGTGGGGACGTGGTTTTGAATGGGGGGAGGCGGGCGAGTGATGATCTAGGGGGGTGGTCGCCGCGCATCTCGAGTGCGAACAGCGTCGAGCGCGACCAGTTGGGCAACCTGCAAGGCCCAAGGGGCTGACGCTGAGGCAGTGGCGTTTTCTGTCTGCCCGTGTCGGACCCGCGTGTCAGGGATTCCGCCGAGGGGGCTGCACGAGCCGGAGTCCGGGGAGCGGCTCAGGTGCAAAGGTTTGCTGAACCATGCATGGGAGAAAGGGCCTGCGGCAGATGGCCGCTCGCCGTGTGCGCCAGCTGGAGCTGGCATGAGACTCATGCCAGCCGCTCATCACGGCTGCGTCAGGCCCCTGGTGAGGACGCATGAAGGCCACAACACCCACAGCACGGCTTCCTGCCCCCTCCTCGCTTATAAACGATGACCACACGCAACCCACACACCCTTGCCTCCCTGAATTGAAACCCCCCCCCTTGGCCCCCTCCCTCCCTCCAGGGCTGTTCGGGCAGTCACATGTGCAATAACATATGCAGGAGGCGTGCCAGGGCCCCGTGCGCGAGGCCATGGTGGCGGCCGGCGGGGAGCGCGTGGCACAGCTGCGGGGCGAGGACCTGCGGGCCCAGTGCGCCTGCGCGACGTTGAGGCGGCGCAAAAGGTGGGGGAGGCGGCACGGCTGGCGGGGTTTGTAGCATGCGCTTGGCTGTGCGCAGGCGTGCCTGCACAGCCGGGCAACCGTGTGCAAGCGCCGTGCGCGTGATGGTGAAGCAGTTGTGAAGCGAGGGGAAGGGACAGAGCAGTTGGCGAAGCATGCCTCCAGACCCCAGAGGGAGATTTGCAGCGGAGTGTGGCTGAGCGCTTTCTCGTCGCTGAAGGGCGCCCACAGTTGGAGGCCTTGTGGGATCCCTGCGTTTGTTACGCTGCAACAACTCACACCTGCCCCCCGCTGGCGCGCTCTCGCAAGCACACCCACATCGTCAGCGCCGCGTGCTTCACCCACCACCAAAGGCCCAGCGTGCCAGCGTGACACCGGCGGAGATAGAGCGGTACGACAGTACAACGAGCGCGACGGCGCCAAGTACGTGCCGTTGGGGCAGCAGGATGATGCGGCGATGGAGGAGGACGGCTGGTGACTCAGCAGGCATTGGGGCGGTGGACGCCCTTGTTGGATGCAAGCACGTACCCTGAGTACAAATGCGCAGACTTGGTGTGACAAGCAAGGCCCAAGCCCACCCCGCAGACCTAGCGTTACTGCGCCTCCCGCGTAACATGGCTCTTTGAGTGGGGACGCTGCTGGTTGGCCGGTTGGCTGGTGGGCCGCCTGCGTCATGGCAGCGACCGCTCCTGTCCGTTGCGCTGTCAGGAGCTGGCGGTTGCCAAGCGTACTCAGGGGCTGCGCTGTTCATTGCGCAAGCACTGCAGCCTTTCTGGAGAGTTGTTTGTTTACAGGCTGATGTTTGGTTGGCAGCGTGTTATTGCCTGGTGTGTCGCCTGGCGACGTTGCGCGCTCCTCGCAACACGGCCCTTTGAGTGGGCGCGCTGGTCCACCGGCGTGCCGACAGGCGGCGTGGTGGGGTGGGTGGGGAGTCTGTACATGTCTCAGCCGGTCATGGCCACAGGATTGAACCGCATGCGCGTCAACCTGGCTGATTATCGAGCATAGCTGGTATTTGCGGCTCGGGCGCCCCTGGTGCTGCGCCGGGACCAGACCTTGACTTTTTTAGGGGGTTGGGGCCGCAGCGGTTGCCCACTTCTGGAGCCATGAAGGCTCACGGGATTAAACTTGAGAGCCCGTGTACACTGCTTGGCGTGTGCAACGGGCTGGCCTGGCGTGTGCCTCCCACAGACCGTGCATGCAAACCCCACACCAGGCATGTGCTTGCCCGCTGGTGCAAGTTAATGTGTGGATGTATTGTGTCCTGCTGAGGCCCTGCAATTCTTCTTTTTCGTGCCGCTGCTGCCCAGGCACCGGCGCCGCGGTCAACCTTGGTGCTCCGCCATGCTGCTTTTCTCACCGTTCGTGGTGCTGATTGTCGCAAGGTTGCTTGCCCACAGGTGTTATTGATCTTTTGTATCGTTATCAAGGGTGCAGCCGCGGTGGTGCTTTCACATCAGTGCATGCGTGAGCTGCGTCGAGGCTGCTGATCTGCATGCGGTCAATGGTGACGTCGGGATTGCGTTGTGCCGCATGCACAAGCTTAGAGCACGAATTGTTTGCGCACGTTTGCTGGTTTGGATCACCCTTTGCCTAGTCCAGCCCTGCCCGCTGCGGAGAAGGTTGCTGTGAAGCCGCTTACCAGACCGTCACACTATCACAGCTGTGGAGAAGTTACCATCTGAGGCACACTTTGAGGAAGTATATTACCTTGGCTTTGACCATTGGAAAGAGAGAGACCAAGATACACGCCAGTGCAATCACAGTGCCCGTAGCACGATCAGTCATCAGAGCTGTCTGGACAGTGGGAGAAACCAACAACGTTTGCTCTGCTGCTCCCAACGAAAGGGCCAGAACACGGGCCCGAGCATGCTATAGTAACGCTGGGTGACAAGTCCTGCGGTGCCTGTCCAATATGCACATAGCCAATGGTTGGATTCATGGTCATCTTCCTTTCCATGCAGGCAGCATGGGCGCACGGGCACCCCTCGTCTATGCGCGTCACCGGTCAGTTGCGGCCCGAAACCGCCGGCGCGCGCACGAAATGCGCTGTACGCGGGGGGGCGACCGCCTCAAAGCGTTGAGCGCACCACCCCGTTCCCTATCGCGCGCGCGGGCCGCTGCAGGAAGCCCCCGCGCGCACGCCGTGGCGCCATGATCAATACCCGGCGCGGGCCGCCCAGCGCTTGTACGCACGCATCCCAGCGCCGCGGCGGGTTGTCTGGGCCGGTTTGCAGGTGCTGCCGGGCCGTATCGGCCGTGTGTGTCCCATCCCCCCTGAGCCCTGACCGGCCACTGCGCGGGAACTACCAGAATCGCAACTGGATTTAGCGGAGGTGTCAGTTTGCCGGTTTGCAGCAGGAAAGGATTACAGGATCTTGCAGCCGCCTGCTGAAGCCACCCAGGCTTGTGAGATCTGCACACAAATGGGCGCGAAGAACATGCCCCGCCAGTGTGCCAGGGCTTTTGGTCGAGGCCCACAGGTGCGGCGGGCCAGGTGGCCGCGGCGGGCAGCAATGTGCGTTACATCCAAAAAATCACCAAGCACGTGCATAGCGGCGGGTCACTGCGTGGTGTACAGGATGAACAGAGCCCATGCGGCGGTGCAGCGCCTGGGGCTTTCTGCCAACGCACGGCGGGTTGATTGTGTTGTACAAGTACAGCGCGCGTGCATGTTCAATCACGTGAGCACGCGGTGAGCATGCAATCGCTCGTGGGTTCACTGTGCACGTTTGCTTTCATCGTGCTAGACGAGGAGAGAAGGGCTGCTGGGCAGCAGTGCTGGCGGTTCACAATGCATGGGACAAGAGCCCAGCGGCGCAAATAAGCCAACGATAATGACTGCGGCGGCGCTGCCCCTGCACATCCGATCCAACCTTGTTGGCATGTGCCGCCCTGTTAGGGGCCAAGGGCGCCAGTGTCGTCGGCGGGCAGCGCGGCGACAAAGCTCGTGGCAGGGTCAGGGCCGGCCACTGGCAGGGCGGAGCTGAATGAGGTGTGGCCGCGGCCGGCGCTAGCCGTGGTCGCGCTCTGGGCCGCAGCCGCGCGCTCCCCCAGCAGGGTGCGGCGCCACGAGCCCCGCCTGGGCGATGCAGAGGGGCCATCGTCGTCTTGGCCGTCAGCCGCGGCAGCGCCGGCGGTGGAGGCGGCGCGCTTGAAAGGGGTCTGCAGCGTCATGGTGCTGGGGATGGCGTTGATGGCAGGCGGCATCCACACGGTGGCGGCCCGCTCGCTCGGGGTGCGGCGGACGGGGGCCGGCTGGCCGCCAGACGTGCGGGAGGCGGCTTGGGTGCTTGGGGTCAGAAGAAGAAGTATGACTGCAGAGCAAGTGAAGACGAGGGGATTGCATGGGTTGAGGGCGAGATGGCAGCTGCAAGCGGGGGGCGCACGGCGCGCTGCTGTTCAGCCTGCATGCCGAGCCAGCCAAAGG